CTCGGATAACGCTAGAATCACAGGATTCACCCTCTTCATAATCTGATGTTGAATTTCGTCCTTATGCGCCAAGAAGCTTTGTGCATTCGTATACCAGAGTAAATCCGCTTCTCCCTGTGGTTGCTATTTTGCATCTTCCCAGCCGGCTCTTTTTTTCTCTTCCTCCAATACTTTCTTAAATGTCGGACATTCCGAATCTAGCGCCTCGTGTTCAACATTTATCTTCAAGTTGTACGTCTGATTCTTATAGGTACAGTTTACACACCTCTTCTTTGCCGTCGTACATTCATTCGCCTTATGATTTCCTGCACATTTATAGCATGTTTCCTGTCTCGTGCAATTCTTGGCAATATGGTAATAGCCCCAGCATTTAAAACATCTTTTAACACTAATATAATTAAATATAGGACACTTTCGCCATCCTAAATTAATTTTTCCTCTGTTTATTAGTGAATTATGAGTGCTTTCATCCACTTCAATTATTACGGATCCTTGCTCAGTATCCTTACTTTTTCCTCTTAATATTTTCTTCACTAGGTGCATACAGGATTCTTCGCGAATTCTGTTCTGCTTCTTGATTGTATCTATCAGTTCATCATCCTCCATTTTCATTTCTTCTCCACCAACATTAATTATTTTAATCTTTGGTTTCCTCTTCTGTGGCTCAGAGACCTTGACCTCCTCGCCCATTGCCGCTTGTACCGTCGCCTTTAGCTTATCCTTCTCTTCTTTCGACTCACATCCTAAGATCACTGTCCCTTTACCTCCCTTTCTTAATTTGGTAATTTCTATTTCCATCTTGGTTATATCAATTTTATCTTTAATTGTTTTCTTCGTAATTTCACTCTCTTGTTGTACTTTTGGTTTTATAATCAAGATATTTTCTTCCTTCCTTTCTTTAATCACATCGCTATATTTTCTTGTCGCTCCACCTGACGATCCATATGCCCCTTGCGTCAACATTTTTCTCAATTCTTCTATTTCCTGTTTAATGCCTCCCACCTCCTCACGGACTATTTCTTTTATCATTGACTTGATCTCCTTTTTACATGCTGCCTCATCTTTTAATTCTTTCACTGTTTTTACAAGCCAATCTATTTTTCTATCAATATCACTCGCGACTGCTACTTTATTCCCGCTGCTTGGCGCCGGACTCATTTTTGCAGGTGCCGTTGCTCTTTCTGCTGCTGCCACTGCTTTATTTATATCAGCTACTTTATCACCATCACTAATAATGAATTTCTCGAATGGGCCAGGACACGACACCAACTCGCGGTTTCTATCATAAATTTTGTGCTTAGATACACAACCTGGATGGTAGAAAAGCTTGGCACAGAACTTGCATGCTATCACCTCCGTTTTTATCGGCTTCTTACATGCCGAGCATCGATACTCGGCGTATTCCTCGTTCATTCTGCTAATATCCGCAGAGACAGTTAATTGACTCGTCACTTTAACACGTCACTTTCACACGTCAGCGTTTTATGTTCGCCGTCGATGTCTACCTGTCGTACGAGGTTTCGATGACCTCTGAACAAAATGCAGTTCTCGTGTCTATGTATCAACATATTCCGGCTAGATAACACTCATGGCTACCCCCGGTCTATGCAGATATTCGTTACACAACTTTTTAACACTCTCCCTCACTTCTAAACCACTCAAAAATTAACACTTTTACGGAGCGATGTTTCACACGTCTGCTTCTGCTGAGAGAGAGAGGGAGAAAGAGGGAATGAATGAATGAATGATTTTTATTATGCCCTAGTTTAAACTTTAGGCAAAACGATAACAATACAATGATATAAAGGTAATATACAAGCAACATAAGCATATAAAAAGACAAAAAGAATAAGAGTATGTACAAGGCTAGCAAAAATGGGTGCGAGTCCGCACGATCACCGCTGACAAGCGTAGATAATAGAAAATAATCAGCGCATGAATAGGCAAGCTCGTGCCAGCAACGCGATCGCACTACAATGTCGTAGACAACCATTCGCCCAAGATACAGAATACAGAATATGCGCATGCGGCTTGACAACACTCTCGCGGTTCAAACCCCCGCAGTACTATACAACATGGACGGTGGCTAGCTCTGCAGGGGAAGAAGTACTTTGCTCAAGTGAAAAGAGGTGATCGTGGAGCTTATTTTTGAAAGCGGCAACGGACGTGGCAGACACCACCTCGGTAGGAAGTGTGTTCCAGAGATAGATTCCTGCAGGGTGAAAGGTGTTGTGGTAAGTTTCGGTTCTATGGATAGGAATCTGAAATGATTGAGGTAAAGCTAACCGTGAGGATCGCCTTGTCGAGGGATCGAATTCAGTAAAAATCTCGGAAAGGTAGTTGGGAGACATTCCATTGGATATTTTGAACATTTCCACTCCAAAAAAGTAGCGACGTCTGTTTCTTACAGATAGCCATCTCAGTCGATGCCGATAGGTGGTGATATGCTCATCGCGTCTCAGATTAAAGATGAACCGAATTCCACAATTCATGAGCCTTTGCAATTTTGTGTTGAGTTCATCAGTGACATCGTTGAAGACTAGCGAACAGTAGTCCAGCAAAGGCCTGATCAGAGTGGATACAAGTTTTATACGTAGCTGGAATGATAGCGAGTTTTTGTGGAATTTCAGCTTGTGGAGCGTGAAATGCACACGCTTAGAGATGTAAGAGACATGACTTTTCCACGATAGGTCTGATCTCATGATAACCCCCAGATTCCTCGCCTCGGGAACAAATGGAATAGAGGTTTCATTCACTGATACAGGGGCAAGGCTGCTGAGATCGATCTGCACAACGTTACGCCTGCTCCCCAGTAAGAGAACCTTTGATTTATTGAGGTTAAGGGTCAATCCATTAGCGGCCGCGAATTCCGCTATGACTCCGACGTCGTGCGCCACGAGCCGAAGACCCGAAGACCCATGTTCAGCTCGCGTAAGAGACATCTGCGATAGATCTGCGTGTCGTCGGCAAATATCATATACTGAGTAAATCGCAGAAATGCCCCTATATCGTTAATGAACAGGAAAAAAAGAAGCGGCCCCAAGACTGATCCCTGCGGGACTCCCAAAGTGACGGATAACCAATCGGAGAAAATGCCCTCGAGATCTACGACCGCCTGAGTGCGACCAGTGAGATATGAAAAGATCAGCCTAAGGGCTAAATCGGAAAAACCTAATTTCCTGAGTTTTTTCAATAGCAGAGGATGTGAAACGGTATCAAAAGCCTTACTAAAATCGAAGAGGACCAGTATGATGATCTCGCCTAGGTCAACAGCTCTCCTGATGTCATGCGATATACGAAGTAGAGCAGTCTGGGTCGAGTAGCCCTTGCGGAAGCCTGACTGTCGATCGTCAAGAATGTGGTTGGTGGTTATGAAATCCACGATTTGACGGTGGATGATTTTTTCAAATAACTTAGAGAGCTCGCACAAATTCGTGATAGGTCTCGTGTCGGAAGGCGATGAGGGTGTCTTGATTTTAGAAAGTGGGCGCACTATGGCGCGCTTCCAGAGCGATGGAAAGTGGCCAAGGTTAAGGCAACAATTGAATAGAAAGACCACGAGATTCCCAATATGGGGCAAAGCAAGGGCAACGATGGATAGAGGCAACTGGTCAAAACCCGAGGCGAAGGAAGAAGAAGTTGCACCCATGACTGAGCTCAGGTTGTCAAATGTGACTTGAGAAAACGAGAATATAGGTTCTTCAGGCGTTAAGGATAATAAGATGTCAGAGAACTCAGTTTGCGAGCAAGAGGGGTGACGATTCGATATAGAAGCATAGTAGGAATTCAGCTCATCACGCGAAAAGAAGTTTAAGGGTGAAGGAAGAGATGGTTGAATAAGGCCAAGGTTAGAAAGCTCCCGCCACATCTTGGACGGATCAAAAACCGAACACAATCTATCCATGTGATACCGTTCTCTTGCCTTCTTTAAGTCGATTGTGAGATTGTTTCTGAAATGTCTGTAGATTTGGAAATCAAGAATGCTTCCAGATCTGCGCGCAATGCTGTAGAGCCGATTACGATGTCTGATCCTGTCTGTGAGAGCGGCAGTAAGCCAAGGTGCAGGGGGACGAGACACACGGAAAGTGTGGACCGGAGCATGCGTGTCCAGACTGGCTATGAAATCGTTGGTAAGGGTACTCAAGAAGCTATCGACATCTGACTCGCTGGGGCTCATTTGGCTAATGTCGTGTGCGAAAGACGTAAACAGCCTGGCGATGAGCGTCCCCAGGAAACTGTTCTCCTCGAAACCCCTGTAACATCGCCTCACCAGCGTACGGCTTTTAAAAGAGGAAACCCCGAGCGCATAAGTTAGCTCTATCATATCGTGGCCGTTGATGAAGGGAGCACTAGACTTGTGAAACGATAACACCTTATCTAAACTATCGACTATGAAGACGTCAAGCCAAGAGTCGGAGGAAACGGCGTGAAAGGTCGAATTCGATTCGACTATGTGAAGAGACAATTGCGAGGCCACGTCTTTCAGATGATTGGATTCGTAAGAAGAGGTGAGGAGATTGCAATTTAAGTCACCTGCGATAATAATGTTTTTGTAATTGTGCATGATTCCAGTGAGCACGTCAACATACCCGTCGAAATTTCTCCCCTTCGGTCTGCGATACATCGAGGTGAATAAAAGAGGCTCACGCGTGCCATCGCGAACCTCGAGAACGAGATACTCCGGCGCGTTCGCGAAAGCGGGAGGCGACGACGCAAGAACACGCGCTTTAAGCGACTCGTGCACATAGCAAGCCACTCCACCGCCCTCCCTGCCCTCTCTGTCAGCACGCACCAAATAGTACCCGGCAATCCGCACCAAATCATCAGAAATATGAGAGTGGAGCCAAGTTTCCGAGACTGCGACAATGTGAAAAGATTTTGATGTTAAGAAAGCTTGAATCGACTCGAGATGGGCAGGGAGGGAGCAGGCATTGAGATGAGCAATCCTGATACAGCCATGCGTGGCAGCAGGAACTCGACTCACACCCCCCCCCCCCAGGTCACTGCAGCTCTGCCAAATCATCGTCGGAAGCAATTAATATGGGAGGCTGCCCGCGATCTTTGCGGACGAATATCCGACCGTCCCTGCTCCACACATGCCTGTACGAGGACTGCCTCGCCCTTATCCTCGTTCGACGCAAGAGGTTGTAAGTGGCGGCCGGGAGCAGCTCGTTTACGTAAATGTTGCCCGAGACACTCCCACCAAAAACCTCGCCCACCGTTAATCGTCTTCTAGCACGCATCACCTTAAGAACGTGATCTCGAATCTCGCGCGACTTGAGCGCCACTATCACTGATCCTCGACGACCAGCCGCCCCAGCCCGCCCGTCAGGAGCCGAAGCCGACGCGACGCCCGGCCCCCCGTCAGCCCCAATCGACATGACGCGCCTCACCGCGTCACGGGTCTCCAGAACGTCAGAGACAAGATGAGGAATGCCTAACGCTGTAAGAACGTTTCCGGCTATCTCGCCGGAAGCCTCAGAGAACTCGCTCGGAATGCCCGAGATAATGATATCCGACGTTCTGGAGACCAACGGCGCAGCAGACGACTCGCCAGCCACGCGCTGAGAGCTCAGCAGTTGTGCGTTCTGAGCCTCCAATGCCGCAATTCTGTCGCCGTGATCCCCGACAATTTTCAGAATGTCCGGTATTTGATTAAATTTACGCGCGAAATCCGCGTTCACAGCCTCTTGACGATCGATGAAAGCCGATATTTTCTTGTCGGACCTCTCAAATACGGCAGTGAACTTCTTGTCTAGTTCGTCCAGTCTGGCTGCGAATTTTTTGTCGGATTCCTCGATCTTTGAGAGAATACATTGAAGCAACAGATCGGTGGAAGACGTCTGCGTACCAGGAGAAGCGGCGGCCCCCGCACCCGGGGAAGCAGAGCCGCGAAAATCCGTGGATCTAGTTGATTGAGTATCCCTAGGCATTAGCGGCATTCTGGACAAGCGATTCCTGCAGCAGTCACCGGCAGACTTTGTGACAAGATACGGTTTGACACAACCCGGGTGGAATGCTCTGTCACACTCCTCACACGACGCGAACTGACCGGCAATGGATTTGGAGCACCTGGTACATACACGCTGCATAGATCCAGATATCTAGTAATCAGTATAGCGAGATCACCGCAGGTGTCACTCCGCGCGCGCAACCCGGGTAGCACGCCTGAGTGCGGTAAAGGTGGTAACACGCAGCCACGGCTCGGGTCGTTCGAAAGTTGGCGCACATGCGTGCGTTCCGGTGCAAACGCGAGGCACAGAAGGAGCAGGCGGGCAGGAGCATGCGCAGCGGAAGAATTCGCCTAGAAGAGAGCATGCATGGACAGGCAGGCGCATGCGCAGCAGCGGTCTACGTTTATCACGGAAGATTCCAAGAATTCCACAGGTTTCCAGGAATTAGGTTAGAATGAGCAGTAATGCTTGTCACGCGAAATACTCGGAAATAAGCAGCGAATACCATGAAAATGAGTGTAGTACGTGACAAGCAACCAAAGACTTGCTTATTCCTGGAACAAAATAGCCCGGAGGCAGCTTGCAGCAGTAACAATATTCACAAAATGCAGGAGCAAGAATACAACAAACTGGCAATACTCACGGGGGGAGAGAGAGAGAGAGATTGATTGATTGATTGGTTTTATTTATGCCATAGTCAAGACTTTAGGCAAAATGGCAATTTACAAAAGGAAAAAATATATATACACAAGAAGAGAAGAGAGAAAAAAAAAATAAAATAAAATAAGGTAAAATAATATAACAATAAAAATGACAATAATCAGAACAAAATTTGCGCGTTAAAGTAAAGGAATAATATGCAAACAAAAATACAACAAAATAGAAGCAAAAACGAAGGTATAGATAACAAAATCACGCAATTACGGCAATTACTGCGGATGCGCCAGACAAGAGCAATGTGTTGACACTCGTAAAGGGATAATGAACCGAAGAGGGAGGGAAGGGGCCACGGTGGGATCACAGGACGGAGCTCTGCTCATACGATAAAAGATAGTCGTGTAGCTTTTGTTTGAAAGAGGTGATAGTCGATGACGAAGTAAGATCAACAGGAAGCGAGTTCCACAAGTAGGTCCCCGCAAGATGGAAAGACTTGCGATACGTCACAGTTCGATGGATAGGCACATGGAGAGAATGTGGTTGCACAAGACGAGACGATCGTCTGACAGAGGGATCAGGGTAAGAAAAGATCTCGGAGATGTAGTCAGGAGACAGACCGTGTGTAACTTTAAACATTTCGATACCCAGAAAATAAAGACGTCTGTTTTTGACCGAGAGCCATCCTAAACGATGACGATAAGGCGTAATATGTTCATCACGTCTCAAGTTAAAGACAAAGCGAATAGCACAGTTTATGAGTCTCTGGAGCTTTGTATTGAGCTCGTCAGACACGTCGTTGTAAACAAGAGAGCAGTAATCAAGCAAGGGCCACACCAAGGTGGTGACGAGTTTAATACGCAGATTATGGGATAAAGAGTTCTTGTGGAATTTTAGTTTATAGAGTGTGTAGTGGACCCTTCTTGATATATGCGAGACGTGGCTTTCCCATGATAGGTCAGAGCGCATAATGACCCCCAAATTCCGCGCCTCAGCCACATAAGGAATGGAGGTGCCGTTGACGGAGATAGGAGGAAGTTGGTTAAGAGTGAGTTGACTAACCTGGCCTCTGCTTCCGAAGATCAAGACCTTTGATTTGGCTAGGTTAAGTGTAAGTCTGTTGGCAGCGGCAAACTCTACGATTATGCCGACATCGTATGCCACGAGCTGCAAGGCCGTATTAAGATGGCTGAGAAGGCATCTACGATAAATCTGGGTATCATCAGCGAAAATGATGCGTTCAGTGAATCTAAGAAAGGCGCCGATGTCGTTGATGAATAGTGAAAAAAGAAGAGGGCCCAAGACGGATCCCTGGGGAACTCCCGAAGTGACCGAAAGCCAATCGGAGAGCACGCCCTCCAAGTCAGCGACAGCCTGAGAGCGACCAGTGAGGTAGGAAAAGATCAA